AACTGAGGGGACAAGACGAGGATTTGTCAGCTGGAACGCCTCAAACTAGAAGATTTGGCAGTGTCTTAAATTTGGCATATACAAGCCCCATCATTTCTCGAGCTACAACATTGAGATCATGTAACGTATGTCACTAATGATGGATAACACAACCTCGACGGACTCACCTCGTCGGCTGAAGAAAGCGGCACCTGCGTGCGAAAAATGCCGAGTCCTCAAGGTGAGATGTATTCGACACGAGGAAGGGCAGCCTTGTACCAAGTGGGTGTCACATCCCTAATCGTATTATTTTCTTATGGTTAATTTTGAATAGATGTGCCAGATCAAATTCTGAGTGCGTAGTTTCAGAGCCGAGACAGCGAGCTCGAGTTTCACAACGAGCGAAACCGTACGTGACCGCGGAGGGCGATCTAGTCAACAGGTTACTTTTGCTGACAGGGAGGGGATAAAGGAGGCTAGCTGACCTTGAGTCGAAGCTCGCTAATATCATCAGTCTTCTGTCACACCCTAGCGCACCCATTAGTGGAGGAGTCCAGCCACCCGTGGATCTGGATTGCGGACTGGCTGCAATTCCGGAATATCTCAGCGACAGCCCAAATCCATCAGCTGAATGGATGAACCAATTGTACATGGCTAGTGCTGAATTGGATGAAGGCCTGGAGTCGAGCGAAAACCATAATACCATCGAAAATACCCTTGAAAAATCTTGGGACACCTCAACTGCGATAGACGCCGCGTGGATCACCGATTTGGGCCTCGGTCCTGTCGTCCTTGAGCATCTTTTAGACAGGTTCCGAGGCATGGCGTCCTACTATCCATTTGTGCGGCTCTCATCCGGCTGGAATGCTGCGTCGATGGCTGAAGATCGCCCCTTCCTATTGCTTGCAGTGGCTGCCGCTGCGTCCTCAAATTACTGTCACCTTCAGGATGCTTTGATACAAAAATTCAAAGAATCTCTCAGTCAGCGGGTCCTGATAGCTGGTGAGAAGGATCTAGATCTGCTCCAGGGACTACTTGTTCACCTTGCCTGGTAAGAGATCAGCTCCCACACTGCCTTTTAATTCTGTCGGCATTGGAGGCACCGGCACGCTGATCATCGCCAGGTTCCATTTCCACTTTGTTCCAGGAAGCCAACAAACCTACCAGTACTTACAAATCGGAATCAGCATGGTAATTGACCTTCGCCTTGATCAAGAAGCTGCCGACTTGCTTGAGCAGCGAACTGAGCTGGGCGACAATTACATCCGGGAAGCATGTCGTGCTTATCTAGGCTGCTATTACATGTCTAGCATGTAAGATGCCATTCTCTATCCGGATAAGCGCCAAAGGGCCTGAGCTGACTTGGATAGAATATCAATGTCTTCGGGAAAGCCCAACAATCTCCAATTTCACGAGGCCATGCTTCGATGCGCGATGATGCTGCAACAGCAGCCAGAATTCGACACAGACCTCTTGATGTACCCAGTGACGAAAGTGCTACAGTTTGCCGAGGAGATCTGTGAGACTTACCGGTTCGAAGGCATTCATGGAGCTCGCCTGTACATCCATGCTGAACGTTTCACGACGCGGTTAGAAGAATGGTGGTCGTCTCTATCGACGGATCTTCGCAACACGGGTAGGACTCTCCCAAGCGTTGGGCTTCTTCTTTGGCTGATTGAAAATACGTAGTATTGTTGATCAACGGCTATCATGCTGTCAAGATCCGGATCCAAGAAATGGGCTTGGTATACTGCTACGGGCAGAGAAGGCCACCGCCTCCAAAGGCACAGGACGAATTCACCATGTTGTCTACACCTCCGATGATCATCAGCAACTTGGTCAAATGTGTCAGCTCTACCAAGGAATTTCTCGATTTCTTCTTCACTATTCCCGCTGCGCAGCATGGTGACTTGCCATTTTCCACGTGGTATCAGTTTATTTTCGCCATATTTGTGTTGTACAGGTTGTCTGTGGGACTCCCAGAAGTACCTGAATGGAACGGGGAGATTGCACAGCAATCTGTGAATCTGCAGGAATATCTTGAGAGACTGTTGTCTAATCTACAGTCTACAAAGCCATCACTAGATAGGCAAATACCGACCAAGAGTCTCTTTTCAATGCTGCCCGAGATCATAGGAAATGTTAAAAATTCCTACATAGTGGCAAAAGAGAATCTGGCACATGTCAGTGATAGTCATCATGCACATCACAAACTTGGGGCTTCAAAAACCACAGCATCGTCAGCTCCAGGGCGGCATCGCTGCCCTGCGCTACGATATTCGTGCCGACATGTCGCCCCAGCTCCGGATCAGCCCACACTACAACATGCCATTGCCACAGAAGTCCAGAAAATAGAGGATGAGAAGCTCTGGGGCGATCTTTTGTTGATGGATACACTTTCTAGCATGACAGCTTTATCATCTGCTGAGTTTTGACCAGATTTCTCTACTCCAGATCTCAACCCCCCACCTCAAGCCGCAGCTTCAGCATATCAACGTTTCAGATCTCATCGGGAAAGACGTGGGTGGAAATCTTTTTTCCGGTCGAATCGTATCGCTGGGGCAACACATTGAAAAGTCCATCAACATCCCGCGGTTCATAATCAAGCGACAATCCCGCATGAATAAGAACGTCCAGCCCAAAAGTCTCCTTGATCCAGTGGGCAACCATGTCCATCCCCGCCACAGCTCCACTCCCAGTCCAAATGTTGCCATCAATAATCCACTTCTTCTCCTTTGTCCACTTCACATTCGGGTATTTCTTCTTTAGCCAATTGTACTCGAGGTTATTGACTGTAGCTCTCCTGCCATCTAGAACGCCAGTGGCTGCAACAACCGCGGCGCCGGTGCAGGTCGTGAACAGTAGTTTTCCCGAGGCAGCATGACGGCGAATGAGGTCCTGCAACTTTGGAGGAAGACTACTTCTCGCAGGGCTATCCCCACCAACGATGAGGATATCCAACTCGGGGACGTCATCCGCAGTCACCGTAGGCACCATGGTTACAAAGCTTGTAAGCAGGCGCACCGGCTCCATGGTCTCGCCGACATGGTGGAAAACGAATTCGGGCGCCTTTGCTAGAAGTTTCGGATCCACGGGGGTGTAGCAATTGATCCCCTCCATGAGCATCTTACTCGCGGAATTGAGTAGATCCAATGGTCCAATAACGTCGATCGTCTGGTAATCGAAGAGAAGAGCGCCAACTTGGATGGGAGCCATTTTGTGAAGAGTATCAAAAGAGGAATGTCCCAAAAAAAAAGGAGTTTTTAGCATGTTGCTAGTTGATGGCATTAACTGTCTTTACTTTAATACTAAGGGGTTACCATTTTCTGGAATATCACAGAATCGCGGAGCGGGCTGCTTCGAAGGCTCCGCCCTCCGGGATCGACACGGGCAACGAGGTAAAAATTCATGACCCACGTCCGTAATTCGATTTGAAATCATTGTTCGAGGATTCTCGTGCTCTACGGATTTCTTACGGATCATGGAGAGATCCGATCCCGTCAACGTGCTCTTCCTCCTGAGGTGTCTCCCCTCGTGGACCCTTCGTCCGATTAGCCCCGGTGGAATCTTTTATTCAATCATCTTTAGGATATTCCAAATCTCCGAGCAGCGTGTCCACGTCTGTGCTTTTTTTGCTGGTGACGAATTGCTTACTAGTGCCGCTAGGGCAATCGACGATAAAAGTGCTTAATTAAAGGGTAATGCTCGAAAGCTATTGGTGATGGGATGATTGGCCCATTTCCCTACCTCTCACAATTTTAGTCTTAGTCAACGCCAGGTCTCGATGGTCTTCCAAGGGTTGTTGTTTTCTCCTACGTGATAACACAGAGAAACAATTAAAGCTCGCCCATCGAAAAGATTTGAAAGTATACAGGTCCATTCAGAAATGACTTAATTCGCAAGCCAAAGTCTTGGCCGTAGGGCTTGGAAAGGATATAAGAGTGCATGTCCGTAAATCTAGTACTATAGCTCATCTCTATACTCGGAGATAAGTTGATCTGGGGAAGTTAGGATCTGTCTCCGACTTTCATCTTTTCATATCCCGGCGAAAAGTCTTATCATCTATAGCAATAAATAACAAGATGCTTTTTAAACTCGTGTTGATAATATCCAGAGGCCAGTCACTAACAACAAGGCCCCATCTCCCGAAAAAAAAAAAGTCCCCGCTTAAAGCTTTCTCTGATGACCAGTCGGCAACGCTGAAACCCGGCTAAATGTTGTCAGTGGCTAGTAATACTGCCGTGCCGTGGGTGTATAGTTCTTTCAGATCAGTAGTGGAAATCGCATTTTAGACGTAGGGGCTCACCATGGATTCGAATGTCAAACTCAGATCGAGATACCCGGTCTCTCTCAAAGTGGTGCTCTGCATTGCTCGCAGATTGGATCTTCTGGCTGACATCGAGTTTCAATCCAATCTTCTGTTCAAGATCAGCCCATACCATTGGTGCGGGTGCAGAGCGATCAGATGGGACTTTCTTTCTCTCCATGCGTCGTATGTTAAATCGTTCAGGCCAAACGCGAATGAAACAGTCGTCGAAGATTACAACTTTGCGACAACTCGACGCACAATCAACTAAAAAAGCCCCTGCAGTGACACCGAGTTGACCAAAGTCTTCGTATTCCTCCAGTGTGATTGAAGTTTTCATCGTCTCAGGCTGGCTCCTTTTACCGGTCATCCGTGACCCTTCACTCTTCTGTTGAAAATAGAAACCGCTCCCACGGGGCTTGCCAAGAAGTCGCAGAGCTGGAAGTAAGGTTGTCACGGTTCAAGGAGAGTTCTGGGCGAAGGCGAAGATATTGTGTTCCGGTAGTATCCAGCGATTGGGCATTGAATGTGTGGAGACCCAGGGATCGCCAAAGGACACGAGAAGAGGTTTTCTCGAATTCGGGTCGATGAATTCCGACGAAAAGAATCAGATCGTTTCTTTTAGTGGTTCTGTTTAACCTATAGTCTATTTCTTGGGAGACAAGAGCACGAAAGTGTCGACACGTTCTCGTGAGTGATAGTAGGGCTTTGATCGGGAGTCTGTTCACGATCTGTAAAAGGAGCTACTGGGATCAGTTCGATTCAGCAATTTCCCCCGGCCTTTTTCTTGTTTCTTGTTTTTTTACTTCATTCGGCAGCCAACTCAGCCTCGCTTTTGAACTTCCGACTACAGGCATGGTCCCTCGACTCCGTTTTGATCCTTCCACAAGGTATGCGAAGTCAAGGCAAGGGCAATGAATCTGTAATCTACTCCCCACTTAATCGATGAATGGAAATTTCTCCAGTAGTGGATCTCCTAACAGGTCTTTCAGACTCACATTGGTTGGAACTGTGTTAAATCAGTCACCTCAAATGCAAGGCTTGGGAATTGTTGAAAGCAGCTGATAGGTTCATAGGTTGTGTTACCCAAATCCCGTATAGCAGCAGGAAAAACCCGGAATCAATTTCGGGGGCGAAGTAAAGTAGTCATAATACGCAGTGAGTGTCGTGAATTATCCACAAATGCAGTAAATATCAAGTAGTCTACCTGGCTAGCCACCAAGGGTTTAGTATCCTCATAACTCACGATTGGCATGTACGTTCCAGATCGATGTATCTTGCAACCAATGATAGACCCTCCTCTTTTGGAATGCTGTTCTCAAGCTACCCGGTTAGTCTAATTGGAAAGGTGAAATTCACTTGGACTTCTAGTGTAACTTCAAAGCCCTTGGCATCCAAACCTGCGGTCAACGTGATGGATTTTTGAGAATGCTTTCAAAGCACTATAAATTCACTCCTCTCGCGGCCAAAGGGCATTGGAAAATCATAGCAAGCCCAATGTCTTCAACGTGTTATCTCTCAGCCAAACCTTTATCATCCATTCTGAGAACATGTTGTCCTACATCTTCCTCACAGCGACGGCTATAGTCTCCGCGTTCAAATCCTTGCTCGCTCGATTTTACCCGAAAATTGAGCACTTATCCCTTATCAGAGAAATTGAGCCTTCAAACGAGCCCATTAAAGCTTTGCAGACCATGATCGAGATAGACGGTGCCGGCGCTTGGCCTCCCAAAGCCTCTTATCGAGAATCTTGGCCAGTAGTACTTCATCCCTACCATGATATTTTCGTCGTATTGGCTCCACTGCTCCCGGTCATCGATGTTTCGCTGGATTCTACCATCAACCAATGCCGCCGAATGGAATACCAACAGCGATTGCGGATACTGCTAAAAGAACGCGTGAATCTGGGGCTAGTTAAAGAGACGCTGTCGGCTGCTGCAGATGAAACATCTTGCGTGATCACCAACCAACAGTATAATGGATTTTATGCGTGCATCAGCTATCTGCGCCATGCGTTCCGGTATGAAAGATGGAAGGCTGATTTTGGAATTCTCACTGACAATATCTTACAGGTGGGGGACCATTCCTATCGTGGAAGTTGCGCAGCAAGAGAAGATCATCGACTTCCCTCCCGAGTTGGATCTGCCTTGGGATTTTATCCGTCAAAAGTACGGCATCACTTCGCTAGGGGGAAATGTTACGTCCAACTTTTTCTGCAATCTGGATAGAGATCGGAACAAAATTGAATACGCAATCAATGGCAGCATGCCCGAACCAATCCCATCGGCTGAGTACTACCTGATCTATGCATTTACGGAGCCAGAAAGAAAGGTCTGCTCCCGGTAGGGCATTTTGAGGATCACCGCTCACAAGGATCATAGGCGTTGCCAGTGTACTACCACCTAGTGCAGTCCATCACGTGTTTTGAGAGGGATCAGAAACATGCCTGCGTGGAACACCTCCAAAGTCTGACCGTTCACCTACGAGCCGCTTTCCGGGTCTACTACGAGTATGTCATTGATTCTAAAATACCCCATAGCGTCTTTACAGCCTACATCCAAGGCTTTCACGGCTGGGCCGCCGGGGAGATGATAGACGACAAGTACATGGAATACGATGGGACTTCCGGTGCCAATTTGGTCCTCTTCAATGTTCTTGACTTCTTCCTCGGACTGGAACCTTTCCTTGCAGAGCAAGACTACGTCAAATATTTCTCCTCTTCCCAGCGGCGATTCCTGACTTCGATCAAAACCCACGCCTTCCGTGCCGCAGCCGAGCAGGCGAATGATGTTGATTTGGTGCAACAATTCGATTACATTGGAAAACAGCTCCGTGTATGGTTCCATACCGATGACTTCGAATAACGCTAACTTGTATTTCTTCTGTGTAGACTTTCCGCAGTGCACACAGGAAGCGTACCAGACAATACCTAAGTCAAAGCCGACCCGAGCGCTTGCTCATGACTGCCGGGTCTTCGATGGTGCACTCTGAATCAGGGCCAATCACTATCGAAGACCTTGTCCAGCTCGTCGATGATGGGCTAAGGAAGAAAATGACTCAAACCAAATGACATTTCGGTGCAGAGCATTGTTATGCAAGAAAACAAGTCGGTTTACCGAGGCAATGCTATTTTGTGAAGTTGCACAAAGAGTTGACAGAGAGGCGTTGATTGTCAAAGTGAGGTGTCAGAGTCCGATCTCTGCCTCCGTAGCAGAGAATGGACTATGCAACGGAGTCTAGATTAATCCCGAGTGGGAGGCCAATAGAAAATTTGGATGCGAATCAATGCCAATCACCTGATTCGTGCCTAACCAGATGAACTTGCCTTTGTATCAATGGACCTGGTCATGATAGGGGCTGCCATGCGCGTTTGGTGGGCAAAATTCCAAGGTCGCTACCAGTAAGAATGAGATATAGAGATAGTTGGAAAGGTGAGATGGGAAGACGAGCGGCGAAGACGGGGCTTGCTGTTGGAGGGCAGTGAAGGGTTGCGTGGCGGGGTATAGGAGCGACAACGACCAAACTAACTCTCACAAGTAATGCACCGATCCGAATAGCACATTCCCTACTGCTGGGCATTATGTTTAGTGCTGACAGACAGCTAGAGCGAAGCATTCATTATCTTGCAGATACCTTCAATTGTAATCAGCAACGCCTTGACGACAGATGGCCTGTACGGATGCCCTGGTACAATGTACAAAGGTTGAAAATGTGCCCACCTCATCAGCCCACGTATCCCCTTGCTAGAGGTCGCCTTGTTTTTAAAAATAGATTAGGTCTCACTGCAGTGTCAAGAGAATCGCCTTGCCAAGTACTTCGTGGCTTGGTTTTTGACGAGAACTGTGCCCTGGGATTTCCTATTTAACCAGCAGGCCATTATATCCTGACCGTCGTCACTTTTTCAGGAGCGACATTTTCCTTGGTCTCCTCCTCGCTTTTTTTACTTTTCATCATGTTGGCCCAGAAGAAACCTTCCAAGTGTGTCCAAAGAAGATGACGGGGTATACACACTAACACGCCGATTCTTGCTAACCATCAAACAGGTCGATCTTCGCGAAGCCGCCTGTCAAGATCGTCGTGAGCAGTGAAGAACGCGGTTATTATGTCCACCGTGGAACCCTCGAAGCTCACCCCGCATTCGATGCCCGACTGAAGGCTTTAACAGACGATTACGAGGAGGCGATCGATTGGAGCGGCTTTGACGAGCAGACTATTGATTGCGTATTAAGCTTCCTTTACACGGGAGGCTATCAGGCACCTCCAGCGATCTCTGGGGTAATTGAAAAAGAGGAGACCGATGCGGGGGAAGAAGCCCCAGCGCCAGACGGGGAAGAAGGTGAAGAAGAACAACAAGAAGTCGTAGTACAAGAGGCGGAGGCGGAAGTTGAAAATGGTAATCATGTTCCTTTTCCCACAATGCCATCTCATTATCAAAAAGGAACCAGACACTAACATCCACACCACCCTTGCAGAGCCAACGTCACCACCTTCATGGCCACACTCACCATCGCCAATGTTTACTGCCCATAAAAGGCCACTATCACCAGTTGCCGAGTCCTCCGTGACCCCAGACTCACCACCAACTCAGGCCATGTCAGAGAGCGACCTTAATGACCGACCCCTCACCCCCTTGGAATACTGCGATGGGGTCACTCTCGCCGCTGAGCACGCCTCGACGCAAAAGGTCCCAGACCAAGACCCTGAAGAAGAACAAGAACAGGAAACCGAAGAAAACACCGCGGCTGAGATTTATCTCCACGCTCAAGTCTACTCCTTTGCGAGTCAACTCGCCTTCGCCAAATTGGGGCAATTTTCCCTCAACCGTTTGACCCAGGTCCTTGTGGCCCTGGAGCAAACAGACAAAGTCCTATTCCCGTACCTGGTGGATGCAATTCGACTGATCTATAAAACAACCAGCGCTGTTGATGATGCGAGGAACTTGCTATCTCAGTTTGCGGCACTGCAGTACACTACGCTGGTCGGTGAGGATCTGGACGAACTTATCACAGAGGGAGGGGAGTTTGTGGTCGATTTATCGCATAAGCTTGCGAGGAAGTTGACAACCATCGCAATGGCGTTTGAGAGGATTGAATATCTTACTCAGAAGAATGAGGAGCTGAAAGCAGAAAATGCCGAGAAAAATGAAGAGTTGAAGACTTTGAGAGAGGAGGTTAGGCGTGGGCCAACACAGGGCTTTCCAGCTTTTACATATCAGATATGACGTTGACAGGTAGACGGATGTTGTGGACAGCCACTGTTCACGTCATTGTTGATGAAGGTCTTATTTTAAACCCAAGTTTTGGGCAATATCGACGTCTAGAGAGTCTTCCATATCCATCAATGAATAGCCCCAGAGCCATATGGCATTTGTACAAAACCCCTCGATATACCTCCAAAGAGGTCTGGGCAACCAAGGGACAATCTTTCCGGCTTCCATTCTAGCAAGCTCAGACCGTCACACTACCTGTCTCACTATAGAACTTGCAATAGCTTCGCCGATCACAGTGCGGGCACCTCACTATCTACGTCATTAATGCTATCTTCGATCTTATCCGATCCAGCTTCTGTGGGGACTACCCCAGCTCCGAGACAATCCACGATGATCCCGCGATCCTTTCTGCGTGCACGATCACTATTGGCAGCTCTCACAGTGGCAGCTTTTCTGACCTGGACAATAAGGAAACGTTTCCCATCATCCACCCCAAATTTCTCATCTCAGACCATCACCAAAGACCTGACACCGTCACATCACCAATTCTGGCGGGAATTCCACGCCCTACTAGAGAAATATGCACCAGACACAGACCCTATCATTGAATATGAGAAGGCGTCTACAGAAGGCTTCAATGCCCACAGTCCACCACCGCGCCCAGATACTCTCTATATTCCGGAGGGAGACATCGCAACCATCAAAGAAGCACATACTGGGTTCATCAATGCAATTAGCGATTCGCCACCCGAGCTCCCCTACCTCCCCGATACAAAAGGCATAGTCTCAACCGCAGGAGGCTCCTACCTCCCCGTGCTAGTGATATCCCTCCGCATGCTCCGCCGAACCGGCTCCACACTCCCAATGGAAGTCTTCCTCTCGGACGAAGACGAGTACGAAAATCACATATGCGATGTAGTCCTACCATTGCTGAACGCGCGGTGCGTAGTTCTGTCCCGCATCCTCATCGCAGCCCCAGCCCGGATTCAAAAATACCAATTCAAGCCCTTCGCAATGCTCTTCTCCTCCTTCGAAGAGATCCTCTTCCTAGACGCAGACGCCTTCCCACTCGAGAAACCAGAACGTCTTCTCACCAAGGAGCCCTTTCTCTCAAAAGGAATAGTCACCTGGCCTGATTTCTGGGCCTCCTCCGTCTCTCCGCTCTTCTACGACGTCGCAAACTACCCACCCCCACCAATGGATCTACGCCAGTCAACAGAATCGGGCGAAGTCCTGCTCTCTAAAAAATCTCATACCCGCTCCCTCCTCCTAACAACGTACTACAACTACCACGGGCCCTCGCACTACTACCCGCTCCTTTCACAAGGCGCCGCCGGCGAAGGCGACAAGGAGACCTTCGTCGCTGCCGCAACCGCTTTGCGCGAATCCTTCTACCAAGTCAGCGAATCCATCTGCGCCCTCGGCCACGAAACCCGCGGTGGGATAGCGGGCTCTGCAATGGCGCAGTTCGATCCCGTGCAGGACTTCGCTTTGACAAGTCGTGGGGTGTGGCGCGTCAGAGGCGATGACAGTCCTGCGCCAGCTGTCTTTTTCATCCATGCCAATTTTCCCAAGTTCAATCCGGCCACTATCTTTGAAGTCCATGAGGTTAATCCTGCATTTACTGATGAGGGTAGCTATACGCGGGCCTGGACGATGCCGGTGGAGGTTGTATACGGGCTTAACCGCAGGGTTGATGTCGAAAAGGGATTTTGGGAGGAGATTCTTTGGACAGCGTGTGAGCTCGAGGGTCTGGTTCAGAGTTGGGTTGAGCATGAGGGGATTTGTGACGCGGTCAAGGATTACTGGGGCGCTGTCTTTGGGGTGGATTGATTGCTTGTTCCGTTCGAGCTGCTAGTCTCCAGCATGCGGCGTGAAGAATTCAAGTGCACGCCCCGGTACTGCTGTCAGCCATTTTGAGATGCATCTTAGCCGTACCATAAAGCCGGTGTGTTTCTCCTAGTTACTGGCTTCGTTTGCACTTCTTGCTTTGTGCAAAGCACTGGCGGGACAGCTATGGAAGAGTGCACTCCCATCTTACATTCTTACGCTTGTCAGAATTGAATTGAGCCTTAGGTCCTCGGAGCCCCTGGCATGAGGAAGATAATTTCTTGTATCCAAAAATCAGCACCTGCTTAGGTCAAGACGATAGCGCTCTGGTGAAAAAGCATTCGAAGACAGAGCTCACTCATTGACTCTTACGTCCTTTGAGATACAGTTCAAGCCTCCATCATCTCCCTCAACCCCTTTCCACAATCTACTTTCTGTAAAGGAATGGGTCAACACCATACTACATCCGGGATGACTCTGCGGAAGCTATCTCAGGCATCTTGCTCAACTGGGCGGATTATGTCAAAATAGGTCATTGGCAATGGAACAGGTAAACAGTTACAGATCGGAGTAATTTGATACATGCACTCTATAGCGTTGGAAGAAGCATCCCGATCGGCTGTCCTGATCAAAAAGGGAACTCAAAGTAGAAAGCAGGATCGATTTTCTCTAGCTTATACCATTATCATGCATGTCTTATTCGGCCACACTTGGACAAGCATATCAGAGAGTAGTCATAGTGCTTATGAGAGAAGACGCATAATACTATCGATATAGGATGGACTATATATGAATATTGAACTTCCTTCCTATCTCTACGGTTCTCCTTTCTTCATTTCCCTCTACATCGCTCTCCAAGTTGTCTTTTATATTTCTCTCTACACTCTCATCACGTCTTTGCCACATCTTCAATTTTCTTCTTATCCTAGTCTATTTCCTTGTGAGGGGAATTCCGTTGCTAACTATCAGTACCCGAAAAGCACACCACATCCTGCGTGAGGTCTCTCGAGATCAGATGAGGTCGCGTACCTTGACCCCCGACAAGCAAAACAAACACAGTAAAGATGGATATTATACCCAGGTGGATAGAACAGGTGCTAACTCTATAGTTGACTCTAGTAATGTGTAGCCTCCGATACGGTAGTGGCGGCAAAGCTCGTCTGTAAGCTGGTTAAAACGAAATCTGGCCCCAAAAGAGATACTTTCAGGCTCATCATAAAAAACGGAAGAAGCTCAAGGACTCCGACTCCGGCCGCTAGGAGGATTAAAAGGCTATCCATAAACAGGTCTCGAGGATGAAGGAAGAGCCCGCGAAGAAGGTCATATGGAACCTCCAGGAATAAAGAAAGGCGAAAATCGGGTAGGGGATTCTATAGCAGCGCCACCTGCCAGGGAAGGAGTGGTTAAATGGATTAGCTTTATATATTCTATAACCCGGATAGCCTCTTATTTGGGACTGACATACAAGCAAAAGTAGACTGGTAGAGCAGCAGAAAGCTCTTGGCTTAGTCGGAGTGCAAAGAAATGTGTGGACGTTTCCCCGGGGGGGGGGGGGGGGGGGGGGTTATCTGGGCTAAGACATGGCCATAAGTAGATCCCTCTCGTGATTAATGCACTGTGCAAACCAATGCAGCCAACTAGATCATACGCCTTTCAGTCTTGCAGATGCGAGAAAACCGAACTTTCAGGAAGTAGAGAAGACATCACCGAGAAGGTGCGACGAGAAGTTTTTTTTTTAAAAGCCGGTATTACATTGCATATCGACTGCAACAATCACGACTTCATACCAACTCTTTAGTGGACACAATAGAGTGTCCCGATGCATGTGTTGTCAGAGGGTCTCGAACCGAGACTAGGAATCCGGGCCAGATGAATTCCAGCTGCTTTTCCTTATCACATGTGTCTCTGATGCTGTTAATTCGAGAAATCATGTGTGCACAGTTCACAGTAGGCATACAGTCTGCGAGTTCGTGTATAAGTCTCATTATTTCGGTGGGGTTCCCACTGCCTTGGGATGTGATACAGCTCGCAAAAAAAGTTTCAAGCATTTGGAAAATCGAGCTTCCTAGCTTCTAGGCTTAGACTTTGTATTTTAGACAACTGCATTCTTAGAAGCTATGGAGGTAGACTTAAGTCACCAGAGATCACCGAGTGATATCAAACTAAACCCACTTTGCGTTGAGCCGCGTGGACGCTTGGACCGGGAATCACCGGGAAGCGCTCTTGGCACTCCTTAGTGCGAGCTTAATGTCACTAGGCGGGATCCTTAGAAGGCCCTTGGATCACCACACAACCCCAAAACATTCCAGAAAACATCGTCTCTTCAATAGTTAATATACAATATACATCGTCTACATAATCTATAGTAGCACAAAGCCATATCCAAAATCCCTCTAGTCGACCTTCAACCCATTCCTCCGCGCCGCCTCAACAGCCTCAGTGAACAAAGCTTTACAAGGCACCGAGCTACCAAGTCTGGCACAAAGCAAGAAAGCCCCACTTAACTTCCGATGTAGCGAGTATGTCTCCTCAGGCGGCGGCGCCAGCCGTTCCCGAATCATGACTGGGATAAGCGCGCGCACGCGGTCCGTGATCGTCTGGTTACTGAAATCATATAGATCGGGTGAGGAAAGCATGAATGGCTCGGCGATGGTCGTGATCGAGCTGACGTGTGCGTCAACCATCGCCTGCGATTCCATCCCGGTCAGGTATCCCAGTTTGACCGAGAGGTCGTGGCAGCTTTGACGGTCGTTGCGGGAAGCGGCGATTAGCGTGCGCACGTAGGTGGTGATGAATTCTTCCGGGTAGGCGCGGGATGCGCCGAAGTCGAGGAGTTCGAGTTTGTTCGTAGAGGCGTTGTATAGGAAGTTGGTCCAGTTCGGGTCGGTTTGCATGTAGTGGAATTCGGCGATCTCGCGGAGGCAGAGGCGCATGATTTGTGTGCCGATCCAGTCACGTTGGGTTTGCGTGAAGTCGGTTACTTTGGTTACAGCTACCCCTTCGAGCATTTCCATCGTGAGGACTTGTTTGCCCGAGGCGTGGGCGATGATCTCGGGAACGATGAAAACGGGGTCGTCGGCTAGGAGCTCGCGGAAGCGAGTGGCGCCCGCGGCTTCGCGGATGTAGTCGCATTCCCAGGCTAGTTCGGTGCGTGCGTTTGCGATTGTCTTGTCAAGGTACAGGCCTCTTGGAAGGAGGCGGGAGGCTGTTAAGAGAATGGAGAGGTTGTTTAGATCGCTGTCGATGGAGTCGGCGACGCCTGGGTATTGAATTTTTACGGCGACGGGTTGACCGGTGCTTTTAAGGACGGCTGAGTGTACTTGGCCAATTGAGGCTGCTGCCATGGGAACCTCGTTGAACGAGGTGTAGAGGTCGCGCCAGTTGGGTCCGAGGTTGTCAGCAAGGACTTTGTCGCGCTGCCAGGCGGGCATGTAGTCTGCGCGATCTTGCACGCGTTGAAGGACTTGCTGGATTTGTTCGGGGAGCATGTTGGAGTCTAGAGAAATAAGGAAATTAGAAAGGAGCTTTAGATATACTGGTGAGCTAGGCGATGCAACGCACCTTGGATGCTCAGCATCTGTCCCAGCTTGAGAGCTGCACCGCGCATTTTGGACAGCTTAGCTACCATTCGTTCCATGTTACCAGCATTGAACAGAATCGAGCCATTTTCTTCGCTGCCAGTGGCCCGCCGTAGCCTCTCCCCGACAGCGCCAAATGCCATTGAGGTCGCTAGACCACCATACTGCCACAATCTGCCTAGACGAGATGACGGAACGCGGGACTCCAGCATCTGGTACCCTTTTTGCTCCTTGACCTCACCGATAGTACTCGGGCTAGGCACCACATCTTCGGCAACGCTAGCCGCAAGCTCTTCCATTTCCTGAGCCTCGGCCTTCGGAGCCACTGTGGAGACGGGCTTAGCAACATCCGCAACCGGCTGCTGAGGCTTCGCGGCTAGCTTCCAGTCCCTCTTCAGCGTCGGCTTTCCGGAGATCATGCGCGACACTCTCGGGCTGTGGAAAAGATTCTGGATCATCTCCTCGGACATCTCCTCCTCGACCATAGCAGGCTTGTCCGACTCAACAGGCGAGTGGAAAACATCTGCGTTCAACCCATTACTAGTAACTTGAGCATCGCCCGTGGCCTTAGGTATCTTCACTCTCGGTAGTCCTGAGGGATCCGGCTCTGACCGAAGCGATGGCTTATAGAAGACATCCTGCTGCTTGCTTACATCCAGGCCGCCCAATTTCTCATCGTTATTGTATGTTGTCGTGGAAGCCGGGATCTGCGATTCGGCCTGGTGTTGCAGTTTGCGGGCAAGGTCGGGGGGTGGCGATGTTGTAGTGATGGCGGGTGGCTTATCGGCCGGTGTCGACTTGTCGGGTAAGTCTGCCGGGCTCGGCGCAGATGGTGGCGACGGTTCGTCGAATCGGCGTGCTAATGCGGCAGCAGCTTGAGCGGTCAGGATCAGGCCCTCTGTTTGGGCCTTGATTCCTTTGGTCAGGGAGGATGTGCGCGTATATACATCTAGCTGGCGTTGCCGGATGGCCAGATGTTTGGCTGCAATCGTTTTGGACGCATTGAGGAACTGGATCGCGTCGAGCAGACGCTTGCCTGACATGGTTGTGGATCTGACTTTAGTTCATGACGTGGGGAAAACAGAGCCAAAAAAATGTCTGCAAGATTATAAATGTCTAACCGGTCCAAAAACCGTTGATTACGTGAAACAAGCTGATAGGGAGCACTCGGAGTTGTGCGGCCTCCGCTTTCTTTTGCCGATCAGCGAACTTCTTCTCCAAGACCGCCCGCGATACCCTCCGGTCACTACATGAGAATCCATTAAAATCTGTACTTAACACAAACTACAGCAATGATACTTTTTCCGTATAATTAACAACTACACTATGATCCTCAAAGACACTCAAGAGCTCGAAGCAGAGGTCATCCTTCTTGAGTCGCAACTCCAAGATGCCCGCGCGCGACTAGCAGCCTCCGAATACCCCCACCCACCCTCCCCACGGGCTGTTAAAGGTAGGCAAATCTATACCTCTAATGTCGCATCTCTAACTGACCTCTCCTAGAACGGTATACTGTCAATGAAAATAAACCTACGACTTCGACCTGCACATCTCTTCACGCCCTCCTCCTCCTCTCAGACTCCGCACTCCCACTAGGATCCTTCGCCTACTCCAGCGGACTAGAGTCATACCTAGCGCACAACAAAACTTCCTGCACAGCCCCAATAGCCTCCTTCCACCGCTTCCTCAAACTCTCCATCGACTCAATCGCAAGTACATCTCTCCCCTACGTGCTAGCCGGACATCGGCACCCCTCTACCCTCGATACACTAGACAACGACTTGGACGCATCAACGCCGTGTATCGTCGCCCAGCGTGCAAGCATCGCCCAAGGCCGCGCGCTGATCGGCGTCTGGGAGCGCGCATTCAGAGTCAGCTTTGTGGGGCCTGAGAACCCAGCTTCGGGGGAAACCGCAACCGCCGTCACTGCTATTGAGGATTTGTCCGATGCGTTGAAGTCTTGTCTTGCGGAAGATGAGGATCTCGGCCCCAAGGGCCACTTTGCCCCGCTGTGGGGTGTGGTCTGTCGAGCTATGGGTCTGGACTTACAGCAGACGGCGTATGTCTTTGTTATGAATCACGCTAAGGCTGTGCTTAGTGCGGCCGTCAGAGCGGGTGTCATGGGTCCTTACCAGGCGCAGAATGTGTTGGCTAGTCAGACACTGCAGGATACGATGATGAAGCGCATTGCGCGGGAATGGGATATGCCTGTTGAGCAGGCTGGGCAGGTTGTCCCTGTGCTGGATCTTTGGATTGGGAGGCACGAACTGTTGTATAGTCGGATCTTTAATTCATGAGAACATGAGAACATGAGAACATGAGAACATGAGAACATGAGAACATGAGAACATGAGAACATGAGAACATGAGAACATGAGAACATGAGAACATGAGAACATGAGAACATGAGAACATGAGAACATTATGAAATTGAGAAACTTGATAATGGAAGATTGAAATCATGGGGGCATGGGCAATCCTCACATTGCATTCATCATGATCCTTTGTGCTTTTGGTTTTGCTCCGTACACGGTAGTCTTACATGACACAGAAATCTAGAATAGGCTCAGCCTCTGAGGAAAATCAGTGTGAGTCGGCCTCTCGCCCAGAGAGGATGAAGAACGACGCCCGTGCGCCTTGAGAAACCCACCGTTTCTTTGGTTTGTAATGAGAAAAGTAGGAAAGAAGAGAGAAAATAAAAACATGCCCCGACTTAGGGCTAAGCGTGCATAACTCGTCAAACGCCGGCCCAAACCAGACCTGCTAAACCACACAATAAACACCACACCATGAACCTGTCCGGATGTGACACTAAAAAGAGATAGACGTAAAGAGGAAAAGCATCGAAAGGAAGATATAATACAGGATATTTGAAGGTCGATCAGAGGGTGATATGCATGTGGTCGTTGCTTCCGAAGGATTTGCCGCAGTTGGGGCATTTGCGGGAGCGAGACGTGAGACGTTCTTCGACGCAATCTTTGCAGAATACATGGCCACAAGTTTTGATCGCCGTATTTTTGAAATTGCGACGACATACCGTGCACAGTGCAAGTGTCTAAAAGGTATTAACGTAAGTTCATTAAAAAATTTTTGGATTCAACATACCCGCAGCATCTCATATTCCGAGGACGAGTTGCCAAGGCTCTTGTTCTTCCAGTTGTCCAGACTCTTCTTCGTATCAGAAAGTGCCTGTTTCAAGCCGGCGACCTCTGTCTCGGCTTGCCGCAAAGCAGAAGTTGTGCTTCCCAGGGTCGAGTCCTTGGAAACGGAAAGCCCCTTGAGCTCGGCAACCTGATTTTTCAAGCCTTCCATGAGTATGTTGCTCTCGGTTAACTGCTGCTGAGTGGCACGATGCTTGCTCAGGGCTGCATTCAGTGCCTCTTTGGTCTCACTGGCTTGCTTATCCATGTTGGATAACAACGACCGGGTGGTTGCTTCAGACTCCTTCAACTGGGACACAATATCTGACGTCTTGGAGCTTTGCATTCTGAGCGTTCGGACTTCGACATCACGTGCTTCTTTGCTTTTCATTGCTGCAAAAAACTTTTGATCTGCTTTAGACTTCTCTGCCGTGAGCCGTGCGACCCTCTCTTCCATGGCCTCGAAGTCAGTGACTTTTTGCGATGCGAGAGTAGCAAACTTCGTATAGGCCGTCTGCATCGATGTCAACTCAGTGTTGAGCATGGCATACTGGCGTTCCAAGATGGTGTACTTGGCGCGAAGCTCCTCCAGCGGCATGTCATTGATGTTATCGTCGGATTTGGAGCCCTCAATCTGCAGTCGCAATCTTTGACTTTCCGACTCTAAGGCTGCGATTCTAGCTTCTCTGGCATCTGCCAGTTCTTGCAATTTCAGGCTAGAGGTTTTCTTCTGATCTTGCGCGGCCTTTCGCATCTGCTGGTCGGCCAGAAGTTCATCGCGGGCATTCCGTATCCGGGCGAGGTCTGTTTCAGCTCTCATCAACTGAGCTTCTTTCTCGGCAATCGTACGTTTTGTTTCATCCTCCAACTGGATCTTGTAGGCGGTTCTTTCCGAGCGGTATTTCTCTGCTTCCTCGCGAAGTTGAACATTTGTCGCTTCCAGGTGGTTGATTCGCTTAACTACATCATCGTATTGTGATCGAAGGTGTTTAAACAAATCTGTGTGGGCATAATCGTCATCGGTGAATTTTGAAGACTGGAATCCCGATGTGAGCGACAAAACGATGATGTAACAACTGGGTGAGGCCAACCTTGACTTTGATATCGGTAATTTGGCCTAGCAGGCTCGCATTCTCGGCTTCCAGTTTCCGGACTTGCTCCTTTTGTTTCTCTGAAATTGCAGTGAGCTTGTTATTGGCTTCTTCCAACTCAGCGTTGCGGTCTCCGTTGGAGGTTCCCCCATTTGTCGGGGACGATTCTTCGCCCTTTGATTGTGCCGTTTCCCCAGGTCGTTGAATGCCCATCGACTGCTGCTTTTCCAATTTTGCAACCGTAAGACTCTTAGCACGATCGAGTTTCTTTTCAGCTACCAAATATCGCAGGGAGGCTTCTTCTAAGCTTTCCTCCAACTGTTGTTTTTCGGCTAGTGTTTTCTCAAGCTCGGCGATCGTTACTTTTTCCTCGGCCAACTTCTTGGCAAGGCGAGTCTGTACCTCAGAAACCTCAGCAGGCGCATCTTTAGACCTGGACTGGACTTGGGAAATTATTGCGCGAATATCCTCCGATCGCGATTTCAGATGCGTCTCAAACTCTTCAACGTTTTCAAACTGTAAGGAGCTTTTAAAAACAATTTCTGCAAATATTGTTAATATTGAGATGGTGGGTGGTAGGTGGGGCTAGAACGATGAAACTGACCTTGGCCTTCTGCCTCAGATGATCCGAACAGTAATTTCACTTCATCAATCAACTTTTCAGAAATTAGTCCCTGCACCCAAATTGCTATCAAGTAGGTCAATTTAGAGAACGGAAAACGCACCTGTTTGAACCACAAATCAATAATTCGGAGGTGATCATTGTGAAACGTGGCAGCCTTTGACATCTGACTCAAACGTGATTCCAGTGACGATTTCTCCCGCTTGTACTCTTGCATCTGGCGCAAAATCGCTTCTTTTTGAAACCGCTGCCGCAAAAGGTCCTGGTCAGCATTTTGTCCAATAGGAGATCAAAAGCCGACCCCCACATTGTGGATTAAATCCAAAAACGAACTTACTTCCAGATCATCTTTCCATGGCATGTCAGCATCAGGATGAGGCTTGCTACCTCCGTTGAGAGTGGTAGCCTGTTTCTTCAACGGCGGAGCCAAGTCATTGTTGTCCGCGGCAGGCCTCTTCCGGTCTTCCATCTTGACAATACCGGGCTCTAAAGACGCGACGGGGGGTTCGACGGCCGGCATCAGTGGCTAGACTGGCATGGGAGGACTGATATCACCACCGGACCGTCCGTCAGTCAGCCAGACGCAGATCTCAACACTGTGTCCAATCCTGTCGAAGGAAAGTCCGGTAGAAGAAGAAATAGCCAGTAAAAGAAAGCGAAAGAAGTGGAAGTGAAGAAAGGGAAGGCGGGCAGAGGATAGAAGGGGTGGGATGGCAGAGATCGAGGAGTTGAAGACAGGAGGATTTTCAACGAGGTTTAGCGTCCGCTAGTGTCCTCACGTGATTGTCACCCACTTCCCCGGCCTGGAACTTTTTTACGATCTTCATCTATCCACACCTAACAGCGATGGGCAGTCATGAAGTCCTTTTCCAGTTCTGCAATCAGTGAGTGTTATCTGGATGAAATTTAATACTAAAAAATCTCTGACTCTATGTTTGTCAGATAAAACCGGCAAGAAATTCGCACCGAAGGCACCAATCCGTCGTGCGCCCACCGCCGCGCCCGCGAGACGATCTAGTGCTGCTCAAAAGTCGCCAGCCGAGCCTTTGCAGGACGACAAAGTCAAAGATGTATCTGACTCTGCTCTGACGCCTTCTGTGCCTGCAGGCCTGGAACCACAGGCCGTCACAGAGGCCTCACCTGCGTCAGTTGCTGCGCCTACGACGGAACAAACACCCAATCCTTTGAATGTTGCAGTTACTCCCCCGATTGTCAATCCTACCACGGCACCTATTCCTCTCAATGCTCCCAGCGCTACATCGATCGTTGAACTCACCGCTACACCCATTGCCAAGCCGACTCCGATCCCCAGGCCCGATGCCATCTCAAAGCCAACTTCAATCCCAAAGCCGGCTGCGATTCCTATCCCACAGAAACACAAAGCCTTGGCCTCTATCTCGCAACCCACACCTGTCTTGATCGCTCCGCCTACACCTCCTTCTACTCAACCCACACCACCTCCTGCCAACGTCCCGACTAGCGGGGCTCAACCTCTATCCTCTGAGGATCATGGACCAGAGACAGCTCTTTTAGAATACGCCAGGATTGAAACAGCGCGGGCCGCAGAAAACCTTGTCGATTCAAATGAAGGTCTGTCGCAATCCCAACCTGAAATTGAACAAACTGCCCCAATCGAGGGTCGACCAACAAAGCGCGCTCGAACTTTATCAACTACAGCTACTCCAGTTCCGGCTCGAAAGAAGTCCGTATCCGTAGCAGCAAGCCGTCAAGGGTCCCAGTCAATTGTGCCTACTATCGAGGATTCAAGCGCAACGCCCGGTGGATCCAACCTTTCCACTCCGGATCCAACAAAGCCAAAAAAACGAAAGTACTCAAAGGCCGGTACCTCTGATCCTGAAGGTAAAGAGAAACAAAAGCGCACGCGCAAGAAGCGCGAACCCACCCCGGAAGGCGCCGAGACAGTTGAAATTTTGCCGAATGTTGTGAAAATGTCCGAGCTGTGCAAAGATCTCCGAACTGGAAAGAAGTCCAAGCGCGAGACAGAGCTACGCAAGATTGATCAGGCTGAAGAAGAACGGAAGAAGCAGGGTGGAACCCCTGGTCCAGGGACAGGAACGCCCGTCAAGCAAACCGAGCTTGAACAGGAGAAATCCGAAAAACCGATTGATTGGAAACCCCAAAGCGGTCCCCTTATGCGAATCGTTAACGGTGAGATCGTGCTGGACAATGCGTCCTTGCAGGTTGATCGTCACGCAGATGCCGCCCGAGCCGCTGGCGACCTCGAAGATGTGGTGGAAAACTCGTTTACTCGGAAGATCAATCAGGCCTCGTACGGTAAGCGTACAAAGACTGAAACATGGGATGAAGAGATGACAGACCTGTTTTATCGCGGGCTCCGCATGTTCGGCACCGATTTTATGGTCATCAGCAAAATGTTCCCGGGCCGGTCTCGTCGTCAGATCAAGTTGAAGTTCAATAATGAAGAGCGCCGTGATCCGCAACGTATCAAGGACACCCTGATGGGTCCATCTGAGACCATCGACATTGCAACCTACTCAGAGATGACGAACACTGTCTACGATGATCCCAAGCTTGTTCAGCAAGAACTTGACGATGAGAAGAAGCGGATCGAGGACCAACATGCGAAGGAGAAGGAGATGCAAGAGGATTTACTGCGCAACCCGACTGGCGATGATGCCAAGGATGCCAAGAACGACAAAACGGTTATCAAGAAGTCGCGCAAGAAGGCGGGTGTGAAGAGCCAGGGAGGTGGAACAGAGGAGATTCTGGGATCGATCGATGACTTTCCCATGGCTTAAGTCGGGAGTTTAATGGATATCTTATGAAGAGAAGTTTATAGGTTACGGCGTTCCAAATGGGGGAATACAGGATACACATCGATCAAACCAGGAGTTTTCGGGGTATTCGACTAGCTAATTGATTTGTGACTTCGTTACATTTCTACCATTGTAGATGTACCAGTTTCATAATGGCCGTAAGAGATTACAGGTATCGTTTAACGACCTGCCACCTCATTTGTCTTCCTCGGGGATTTTTTGACTGTTTTTTGAAATCTCTTTTTCCTGAAGTCGCTAGCAAATGACAGGCGAAGTAACACAACCATAGGATCACCTACGCCTCGTCGACCCGAAACCAGTACTGGCAGCCGTAGACGAAAACTGCGGCGGCGAGTGCGAGCGCGAGCTGCCTTCCCCCGGGTCATATCCACCATATCTCCCCATTGGCATTCCGCCGCGCGATCCACTATCAGCCCGTCTCCCCATGTGATAACCAGCCGCAGCACCGCCTAGCATACCAGTCCAGAAACCCGGCGTCCACCCCTGCTGGCGAGCAGCATTTTTGTAAGGATCAAAGTTGCTATACGGAGGCGGAGGACCATTTCCACCATCACCTCCACCACCACCACCACCACCACCACCACCTCCTCCTCCCCAGAACCCACCCCACCCCGGTGCCGGGCCTGCACCCCTACCTCGCCGATTCCCCCGCCCGAAACATTGCGCTAGCATAGGCCAGAGGATCATAAAGAAAACGGCAGCAATGAACCCAAAGAAAATCAAATCTCCAAGCACAACCATGATCTTTTGAAACCCGTTCCCGGACCGGTTCATGTTTGACCAATCCCACTCCGCATCACCACCTCTCTTCCCAAACCTCTTCTCCCCAGCCTCGGTCAAGAGCAGCCGATACTCAACACCACAACTCCCCTTCAACACCCACGTGTCATCGGCATTCCGGTATCCCTCGCAGATGACATCTGTTGCGCCGAGCTTGAACTCTGTCGGCAGGTCTGCGGTGCATGTCCACTGCACGTCTTCGATGTCGTAGTCATAGCCTTGGTTTGTGCAGCGCATTACTTCGGGTTGATATAGTTTGCACGTTTGTTTTGATGGGCCTGCGCAGCTAAGTTGGGGGATTGGCGAGACGCGCCGTGAGTTGGTCATGCGGTGGGCGCGGAGTGTTAGGGTTTGAACGTTTGATAGTAGGATTGCGTCTTTGCCTGGCGGTTTGGGGTTTGAGATGCATGTTGCTGGTGAGATGAGGAGTAGGGCTGTGATTGCTAGCTTGGGGAGAGTGTGCATGGTTGAATGGTTAAGAGCTGGACAGCTCTCGGGCTTGCGGTCTATTGTCTACTGTGTCTGAAAATTTTTTTCGAGGTTGATCGGAGGCAGTGGTTAGTGGCGAGCAGGACGTGAGTGATTAGGCTCCATTTCTGTGAGTCAACAAGTGGCGGTTTTCTTAAGGCTTTCGTGTCCTTTGAACTTGCTAGAACTTGGTGGAGAACAACTTCGAAAACCACCATGGAATAATCTAGCCCTGTTTGCTCTGTTTGCATGACCTATTCACCCCTACCAACGTAGGACTCAGCTTTCCTTTCTGATTCGCAATTATCTTCAAAGTAAATCATGATTGAATAGTATCATATTGCAAACGTAGTTCTAGCTCCAAGGAGCCTCGCCATGACCTTATCAGGACTACTAGTTAGACTATCTTCTGATATCACAAATCAGCGTAGGTTGCCCAAAGCGAACCACGTATACCAACGTAAAGTAAAAAAAACCATGGAAAAGATTTTTCTGTTCATTCTTATAACTTTTTCTAATGGTTGCTATGGATAGTTACCTAGAGAACGCTTGAATTGGAAAGTCGTTGATTTACTCTGCTGTGTTTATCAACTCAGCCTCCACTAAACTTCTGTAGAGCCCCGGGCCTACGGCCGGTCGTGGGGCCCAGCTGGAGCCCGATCTTTAATAGATGGTTTGAACTTGCCAGTTTCCAAAGTTTTTCCATTCCATTGATACACTTGAATCACTGAAGGCTTTCAATGCACGCCAAAAAACATTTTCACCGACTTACTCGAACATTATTCAACTTCAAGGGGATGTAATAACTACTATTAGCCGTCGGTTTAGTTACATCTTCTTCAGTCGTAATGAAATCGTGCACGCTGCAGGTAATGAGTAAGCACTCACTCAGCATGCAATACACCGACGTGTGGAAAGGTTGTGTCTGGTTTTGTATGGAATGCGATAGTAACAGTAAACATTAGTTTTCAACACTTTAGTTATAACCCCATTTAGCAATTAATCTTTGAACAGAAAAAAAAATGACGCCGACGAAAATAATCGACCTGAAAAACGCCAGCAATTGTTTTGAATCTCATGCCACCGGGCAAGTTAGATGACTCGAGGCTAATGGTCTTTTGTTGGAGCCAACTCGCGCAACGCCTTCCGAAGATCACAGCTTCCCTTTAGCTTTCCTCCAGCCTTGCATTCTGGACACTCCCGTCCGTGTGTAATGAACAACAGATGCAGGGAATACTTGAACTCGTCGGGAATCTTAGTTTCAAGGTGTGCACGAGCTTGCTCTGGCGTTGCATGTAACGGCCTCCATCCAAGAAAACCGGTGATGCGATAGATATGTGTATCCACCACAAACCTCTGTCTGTTCAAGGTCAAAGCAAGCACACAGCTGGCGGTCTTAGGGCCAACTCCATTGTAACTAAGGAATTCCTCCATGACTTGTTCATCGTCGAGTGGCCAGAGATGGTTTAAGGTATAGGCGTCATGTCTAGCTTTCACTTGGCGCAGGATGGACATGATAAATTTGGCCTTTCTTATATGGAGGCCACCACAGGAGAGCACGTTTTGAAGCTTGGTCTCGCCGCCCTTGCTGATAGCGTTGTAGTCGGTCCATGAACCGTATTCGCCGATCATGCTTTGGACCTGTCGAATTGCATTCCGCTCATTGGTGGCCTGGCAAAGTATGGCGTAGACAAGCCCATCCAGTGGATCCGGAAAAACAGTCGGACGATCGAGCCCGTCTGCATTCATGGCATCCGTGGCATTAGGGTCGCGTTCTCCATGAGACGCTGTCAGGATGCGATGTGCCTCCTGGCACTCCTGCGGAGATGGACGTTGAAAATTGGGAAAGGGGGAGCTCGTCGCAAATTTTTTGTAATTATCAAACTTTTTTTCAGGTCGTATCTTGACTATCGGGGCAAGAGTCTCAGTTTTCGCAACATGTTGAGCAAGATTCTCGGTTTTCGTGCTGTGTTGGGCTGAGAGCCTTGAACTCCGGGTACGTGGTTTCTGCACCTTCATGACAGGGGCCATCGATGCTTCGATTGTGTTGGTGCTGAAAAGTAATTTTTTGCGAAGAGAAAACATACTCTCAATCTACGGCTCTCTTCTAGTTTTTAAGGATCTCAACCGAAAATTTGGGAATCCGATCGGGTGGCGCAATCACCTATGATGTCAGAGAGATCGAGATCGAACCGATTTCCGAGTTGATGTTTGAGATTCCTCGCCAATTAGGCTCATTTCCCCAAGAAAAAAAATTATAATCAATTTCCAGGCGACTTTCCGAAATTCGGATCCTCATCTACGTGCTTTCACTTGGTGAGATGCGAATTATCTTTACAAGTCAGTAGTCAGTGATAAGCCATGGAAGACGATCACATCACCTCTCATTTCACTCGACGCGACCTATCACTCTTGGCCCAATCTTCTCCCAAATCTGCCCTGCGTGTGATTACCCTGATTGACTATGACTGCTTTTACGCCCAATGCGAGAGTGTGCGACTTGGAATCTCTTCGGATGTGCCTTTGGGTGTACAGCAATGGGAGGCCATTATCGCGTTGAACTATCCAGCCAGGGCAAATGGCCTCGCTCGTGGCATTTCTGTTGAAGAGGCTAGGGTGAAATGTCCAAATCTCATCCTACAGCATGTTCCAACGTGGAGGGAGGGATGTGCTTCCTGGGCATATAGACCTGTTTCGACAATCATGCCGGGGACTGATAAGGCAGCCCTTGGCCCGTACCGCCTCGAGTCACGAAAGGGCCTTGAGCTGATCAAAAGCACATTGCCGCATTCTCCCCCACAAAAGATCGAAAAGGCTAGTGTGGATGAGATGTACCTTGACCTCTCCGCGCAGGTTCATAGCATCTTGCTACAAAGATATCCCGCCTTGCTGGATGTGGAATCGTCATCAAAGGACGAGATGCTACCTCTTCCTAGGACGTCTGTGCTCAATTGGCACGCAGATGCTGTTTTTGGAGCAGATGCAGAGGACGACCATTTTGACTGGGACGACATAGCGCTAAATATAGGTTCGGAGATTGTGGACAATATAAGACGGGAGATCTTTAAGCACATGAGATACACTTGTTCAGCTGGCATTGCCCGGAACAAGATGCTTGCAAAATTAGCAAGCGGATACAACAAGCCAAATCACCAGACAGTCATCTTGCGACGAGGAACTCGTGAATTTCTTTCTACGCATAAGTTCACCAAGATTCGCGGATTGGGAGGCCTTTTGGGGACGCAAATCAGCGAAAAGTTCAACACGAAAATGGTATCCGAGCTCCTGGCAATACCTCTATCGCAGATGAAAGAGGAAATGGGGCTGGAGGTTGGAGCTTGGGTTTTCAACGTCATACGTGGCGAGGAACAAAGCGAGGTCAATCCTCGAATGCACGTCCAATCGATGCTTTCTGCCAAAACCTTTGTGCCCAAAATTGTTTCTATTGATCAGGCTGCGAAATGGCTCCGAATCTTTGTTGCAGATCTCCTGGGTCGTCTGGACGAGCTGGGCTCTGAGAACCATCGAATCAGTCCAACCATAATCACCTTAAATCACCACATAGAAGGCCGTTTTGGGCCTACTCGCTCCAAGCAGACCTCAGTACCCAGTTCAACGTTGATTACCGAGAAAATGTTGTTCAACCTGGCCCTTGGTCTCCTTACCCAGATCGTTGCCGAAGAGAAAAGTTGGCCTTGCAGAAGCATATCTCTACGCATTGCCGGGTTTCAGAGCGCTCCAAAATCCAATACTCTCATTTCATCATATTTCATGACAAATGACCAATTCACCTCGCTGGGCTTGTCCAAAACATCCAAAGAAGACTCTCGGAAACAGCAAACCGTGGAAAGTCTGCCCAGGGTATATGAAGGCGACCAAATTTCGTCAGGGGAAAGTGAATCACTGTTTGAAGCTGAATCGTCCAGTTCTTCCTTGATGGACAGCGAATCCCATTCCCCGCATGGATCGGAACTAGCCCTCTATTCATGCCCCCATTGCAACAGTTCTATCCCCGCAGCCGAGGTACTTGAGCATCTGGATTGGCATGTGGCACTTGAACTCTCTAACGTTGATGAGTCTCGAGGATGAATCACGAATTGTGATCGCACAACTGTACCCCTATGGCACAGGGAAATGTGGCTTCTTTAATGCACAATGTAAGCCCAACATATATTATCATCGTTCTTTCCCAGAGAAAGGGAAATGGTGTAGTCTATTAATAGTGAAGATGATTGCTACGTATCAGAGCTCCTAGATCAGTAGTTCGAGAAGTGAAGAAAACAACGTAGGTATAATATGCCCATCGAAGTCATGATGCAAGTAGTGGGGGAAGCAGGATAGAACTCCGATTTGTTCTGCACATGACAATTACCGATGATGTAATTAGCAATCGAGTATTGATAGACTGTTTGTCAGTGTTTTAATAGGCGATGTTAGGTGAGAAAACACAAAACAATTCGGTGCGTTCTTTTTAAATTTACGCTGAGCAAAAATTACGTTGAACCACCCGAACTATAATTTGAGCATCTGAAAAGCTTAGTGGCTCCGAACACGATGCTCTGGCACCGTAAAAAGATTTCGGTGGCCGAGGTAGGGATTCGGCGATGGGGGGGGGCGAGAAACGATACCATATCTTCAAGTAGTTGGCACTTTGAGAGCATGCAGTTCTAGTTGGTTGGCGCAAATTAAAAGTCCTGATCGATCGCATCGAATGACATCGATGATATTCCATGACACATCGTCAAGCTGCGTTCTTCATTGTCCCGATTGCTACACCGCGGTTTGTTCTGTTTGCACCTTTTCTAGGCAACCATGGGTGGATTAAGCCAAGCCTTGCCAAGTGGGGCATCTTTGACTCATATGTGACCCGCTTGACTCCCACTAGTAGGAGTAAGAAATTCGACTACGGAGTATGGGGGGGACTAATTTATCATCTATTGGAAAAAATGAAATCAGATTAAAATCTGGTTTAACGAAGTACCAACGCAGGAAATTACCCGCAGCTGGGAAAAAAAAAACCTAGTATGCCAGTGATCCTACTTTCGTTTGAGAACCTTCCAACACCCCAAGCCATTGCTGCTTTCTATCCGCGTACCCCTACAAATTGAAATAAAGAGGACACAGAAATACTCGCATTCAAGAGGTCTCTAAGATTCTAGCCTTGAAAACTATCTTCGTGTCACCTAGCGCTTTCCAAAAGTAGGGACGTAAAGCCAACTCCTCCTTGGTCACTTCGGCGGAAACGCTATTGGAACTGGTGGGATTTGGGCAAAATACCAGCATTCTCGTATGATCGGAATGTGCGGTAATACGCTTCGTAGGTGTTGTCAATACGATTCCAGCCAAACTTTCTTGCTTTGTGAACAGTGCTCATGAAGGGGGCCGTTAGTTTTCCCGATGGGTTGAGGCCCCAGTCAAGCAGGGCGAATGACTCAGGCTGGAAGCATTCGACACTGCCACCATATTTGGCCACAATCGTTTCCCAAACCCCCTTTTTGTCGCTCGCCCATTCTACCAGGTTGATAGTGGGCCCATCGTTTTCTCCTTCAAGCGTGGAGGGTGGTTGGGGAGCCTCGACTTTGAAGTACTTTGCGAGATGAGCCCAAAGGAATTTGAACACGATGACATCGCCGTTGGTGTGGTTAAATGCTTCGTCCTGGCAGTTGTCATGAGTGGAAGCCCAGACGGTGAGATCGGCTATGCTAGGAGAGTAGCACTGATCTTCAGTTCGATGATAGTTTCGTAGGTTGCCGGGCCATTTCGGGCTCTCTCCAAGCTCACGACAGATGAGGAAATACTGCGCCAACGAGATAGCCTCGTTCATCCCATTGACTGAAAAATTGAATTGTCAGCATCGTAGCTTGCCTCTAATCAGCTGAAGATAGACTTACATTGAGGTGTGAACCCAATGATTCCCATTGGGCGGATGATGTTGTAATGCCAGGTGTTGCGGCGCTTTTGCATCCGGAAGAGATCATCCTCCTGCTCGTAGTAGAAGATAGATCCGGAGCCCGGGCCTTCATATCGTGGAGTTTCCTCGTAAAAAGGCGTCGAGAATTCCCGGAATTGCATTCCATAATGCTTTGATGAGTTAGACAAGGAGGTTGGCAAGTTAGATTTGAACACTCACCTTCCCCCCAGTCTGGAGGCAAATCCTCTTCAGATTCGGGCAAGCCGTGTCAACGGCCTCTAGAAAGTTCCGGAACAGGGGACAATTTTTCTCGGCGAGTTTGTTGAAGTCATTATTATGAACGTATGACGTGAAGTAGGCGTGCGTTACATCTTTGCAGATGACTTTAATCTTGGACTTGATGATTTCTGGATCATCCAGGAAATCAAGAGCAATGAATTCGATGCGTGGGTCAATCCAGTAGGTTGCGGGAGGCTTGCGTGAAGTGATGATGATTTTCGACCTGGAAACTTTAGCATCCTTTTCTCATGCGGTGATTAATGAAAAGGAAGGGGTGGGAAATTGTTTGACTAACCACTCGGATTCAGGTGTTCGAATGAGATGTTCAATAATGGCATGGCCACTAATGCCGTTTGCGCCTGTGACAAATGCCACTTTGCCAGATGAATCCATTTTGTTGTTGTTCTTCGTGGTTTGCTTGAGCTGAGAGTATAGCCTCTCAATTTCCGAGAAAGGGGTCTCCTTTTTATATCTCTTATTTTTGGCAAACCTTGGCAGATTCTGGCAGAACATGGCAGACCTCGGTAGACCTTGGTACGATAGATCTCATCGCTAAAAAGCAAACAAAACAAACAGTGGAGTCGAGATCGGGATCGGATGACGTCGTTTGAACTTGACCGGAAACAAACTTCCGAGGATCTGCAAAGGCCCGGGAGGGCCCAGACTTATCAGGCGTCGAAAACTCACTATGCCGTCCATGAGATACATTTCGGTTGGGAAACATGGCCAATTAAAAAGACTGAACAATTTTCGAAGGGTAGGGAGCCATGGAAACCTACGGGTTAGTTCGTTCCGGCATTTAAAGCAAGGCAATCGAGGGCAATGCAGCTAGGTTCAGTGTTTTCTGATACATCACCGGTGTGTACACAATTTGTGTACTTGCAATGCTGGGCACTGATGCAGTCAAGAAAATTCTCCCGAGCCCCTCTCACTTGAATTATCATGCCTCCCTAGAGGGAATCGTGCTAGACTTTGGTTCGACGAAAGTGTGGCCTTGCAGACACTTTCGTTTCCAACCTAGCTGCCTAAATAATATCCCATTGCATCACATCGCAGTAGACACATTGTCATAAATACAACAAACGAGGTAGACGAGACAGAAGATAGTTTGCTTTCATCGAGTTTGAACAAACTTCGAGGCCAAGAAAAGACCTCATCTTCTTCAGTCACAAACATTCAATTACTCATCTTCGGTACTACGACGAGCTTTTTTCAACAAGAACGATGTTCAAGCATTGGGGAACAAGAAATCACATTTGGACGTCTATTACGCGGCTATCTTGAATATTTTAGGCAGAGCCAGCAATACGAGAGATTGTAGTCCTAGACTGATGATCGATATAAAGAACGTAATAAAAAAACTGCATTTGTTTAATCTATCTCAAAGGCTATTTGATGATACAGCGACAGACGAGCGGGGTCAAGCGAAATGCCAACGAATTCTCCAATAAGCCGCCAACAGAGAACATCGGACCCAATGAAACCAAAAATGGCAAAAAAGAGACCAGACTCATTGGTGGCTTACTCAAAACCCAAGCTGGTATCTTGACAAGGAAGATAAATGTAACCCTTACAGCGACATCGCCGGCGAGACCAAGCTCCTAGGAGAGGTGAAGGACATTTGCGATGAGCTGAGCATGCTGAAATCTCTGGCCCTACATCAGGAAAGTGTTGGAAAATCACTCTGGAAAGACGGATCCAATCCAGATGCTAAGTTTACCTCTAACACACCATCTGAGGCCATGAAAGAGATTGATAAAATGGTCAAAGATGCACAGCACAGTTCGAGCAAACGGCCATTCAAATGCGCTGTTTAAACTACATCAGAAGCAAGCCAACATCATCAAAGTTGAGTACTTACGGAAGTAAAGTAAAGATACTGCGAAGCAGAGTGATACAACTACGGGTTCCACAATAGTGACAATTCTCCTCGCATGTGCAATACCTAACTATAGATTCTTCTACTTGCATGTTCTTATCTGATAGATTCGCAGCTCCCCGCCTCTTTCCTAGCCAGTCTTCTCGCAACAGTTCGCTGAAGGCTAGAGATCGCGGGGCTGAGCTCGGCACCTAAGATCAAATAGCCGATGGAATATTCGGTGCGCCAAATGACTCCACCTAGAGAATTGCCAATCATGGGTTAAGATATGGTTGCAACTTGCAGATGCCAGGAGACTGACTGTTTCAGGACGAGCAGTGCAATCCAATAATAGTACCGTACAGTCTATCTGAGCGATTAGTATTGGGTACTTCACGTGATGTTATCAAGGCTTATTGGAGGCTTCCTACATTGAATCTACAGTTTGAGCTTGAGGTTTTCCTTTTATACAGTGTTGAACAGTTCCTATGGTATGTATTGAGACCAGAGAGTATTTCCTTTTAGGTGTCTTTTCCCCGTCATAAGGTTATAGCTAGTGGGATAAAATTCTTAGCTCCCAAATGTATATAAAATCACGCAAGGCATTGCTCTGACATCACTGTGCAGCCTGAAGCCATTCCTTTACCTGCCCGAGAGACCAGATGTCATGTTCTTTCCCCGAAGTATTTAACGGCTTTTCGACCATCTCTCCGTGCCCAAAGACTCTAAGCGTTTCCCAAAAGGCTGACAAGAATTGAAGTCAATCAACACCGGTGATCCATTCTTGACCATGATGTTATCCGGGTTGATGTCGTTATGGGCTAGCCCTAGGGTGTAGAGGTGCTCCACAGCCGACTTGAGAGATTCAAAAAATTTGACTTTGTCGAGATGTTGAAAATTGGAGATCGAGACAAACTGGTTCAGATTTTGATCAAGTCGCTCGAGAACGATCGACGTGATGTAACCGCGTCTCAGAAGGCAGCCGTAATATCGAATATTGTTCTGGTGCGGCGACCTTGAGATCTGCTACATGACGAGTGTCTCATCAAGGACAGCCTTGGGGAGATGATTGGTACCGATCATATCCTCGTACCGCTGTAGGCCTGGTTGTTTCACGTACACTAAAGAATCATCCAGCCCTTCCGATGCAAGAGTCATTTCGCGCTTATTCTTTGAGGTGTAGCCGAAGAGAACCTCCTCATTTTCCGTGACATGGTTAAAGGTAGTGGATTTTAGCTTTTCATCTTTCCACGACTCAACTATAGTCCAGTCTTGGAGTGATTTTACCAATGGTGGGTCCTGAGCAAATTTGGTCTCCTTCTCAGGTTTACCTGGTTCCACAAAATTCACGATGGTTAAAAGCATGTGCCCAAGGGGCTATATCAAAAAAGGGGGAGAAAGACCTCATTGATTGTCGACTCCCTTTACTTAGGGGTGGTGAGGATGGGCCAACATGATCAGAAAATGCGGGCAGACTGCTCTATATAGTGTCAGT